TGTGTGTGTGAGTGTGTGTGTGTGTGTGTTTGTGTGTGTGTGTGTGTCTCTTTGTCTAATATAATTGATGTTTTAATCATATACACGTACATACACACACACGCACGGACGCTAGCAATAAATCTATCTCTATGTAGATCTGTCGCGAGGTGAGATTTTAAATATATCACAAAATATCTAAATATAAATCACACACTCTCTCTCTCACTCACACACACACTACACACACACACACACACATACACACACTCTGTCTCTATGTGTATGTGTGTGTATATGTGTGTGTGTGTGTGTGTGTGTATGTATATGTATATATATATATATATATATATATATATATATATATATATATATATATATATATATATATATATATATATATATATATATATATATATATATATATATATATATATATATATATATATATATATATATATATATATATATATATATACACACACACGTACATACATGCACATACATATATATATATATACCTCTTCATGCATGCATATACATATATATACATACTATTACATGCATTATATATATTTGAGTATATATGTATATGACCGAATGTGTGTGTGTGTGCGGATTGTGTGTGTGTAGTGTGCAAGTTGTATTTATTTGGGTAAATTCCACTTTACCCCCTCGTACTCTGCCTGAGAAACACTTTACCCCCTCGTACTCTCAATTTTATCGATTTACCCCCTTGTACTTGTACAATTTCGCAATACAGCCATTTCCTTTAACTTTTGTCAATTTTGACTCTGACGCCGTTTGGTCAACTCTGTAAATTACAAAATTGCCACTGCCTATAACGCATCGTTTCTCCTCCATCAATATTGTTATTTCTTCTTCTCCCACCACTTCCCCTTCCAAGATATCCCCAAATTGAACCCCTAACTTAGTAAAAATCAAGACCCAAAAATTGATCGATTCCACCCAGTGCAAAGAAAAAAATATATGAATGTGTGAAACTTTCTCTTTTCTAATCTCGAGAGTCAAAATAAAAAAAAATCAATATTTACGTCAATATTTTGACTCTTGACCAAATGGCATCAGAGTCAGAATCGAAAAAAAATTGACGAAGAGGGTTGTATTGGAAAATTGTACAAGTACAAGGGGGTAAATCGACGAAATTAAGAGTACGAGGGGGTAAAGTGGTTCTTGGGCAGAGTACGAGGGAGTAAAGTGGAATTTACCCTATTTATTTAAATAAAATAATTAGTGTTAAGTATGCATGCCTTTACACTTGGCACCCCCTAATCATTTCTCTAATCCCACACTCAAAGTAACCCAAAAGACACCCTTGATCTTTCTTCTTCCAACACCTCAACCCCTTACTTGTCTTCTCCATTTCTCTCCACCGAAGCCATCACCTCCACCATCGGCTTCTCCTTCTTCCACCTCAACCTCCAAATTTTCAAGAAAATCAAAAATAAAAATGAAGGTCCCCTATTTAACCCTTGCTATAGACTACACTAAAAACACCATCAAAACTACTTGCCTCCTTATGGGAGATAATAACACATCCCTCCTTGAAGCTCACACCATTTCATTCACAATCAAAGTAGCTTGGTTAGATTTCGGTGCTTGAAAGCCTCTCTTCCTTCGGTTGTTTTCTTCTCTTCGATTTTAAGGTAAGAAATTCCGATTTCTTGCTGCAATTAAATGGCATCAATAGTATTAAAATGGTTTTCAAAATTTTTAAAAGATTGGGAGTGATTTCGAAAATTTAGGGCTTTTGGGGAAAAATGAAAAAGAGGTGTTTATTGTTGATTTCTTGTTCTTGCATGCATCATCTATGTTGGTAGTGGGTAGATACAACTTCTATTGGCCAAAAGCATTGGAAATTTCGGATTTCAAAAAGGGGTTTCAAGAAAAATGAATTTTTGAACTTTTATGGGGTTGCATGTGTAAATCGAAAGATTTTTGGGTCAAATCTATAATTTTTGAGAAGTCAGTGCTAAATGTGTTTTCAAAACTGTTTTCCAGCATTTATTGAACAAAAATTTCGGATTTAAAGAAGTTTTGTAAGAAAAAAGTAATTTTTGAACTTCTAGTGGTCTTGCATGTGTAGATCTAGAGATTTTGGGGTAAAATATGTAATTTTCGGAATTTCTGCATAAGTAACTTTTCAACTTCGTTTTCTGCATCTAATAGAGTAAAATTTCAGATTGTTAGGGTTTTTTCATGAAAAAGTGGATTTTGAACTTCTAGTGTGGTTGCATGTGTAAATCTTGAAACTTTGGGGTCAAAACTGCAATTTCCAAAAAATCTCTCATTTCTTATGTTTGAATCTGTTTTTCCAGCAAGTATTTAATGGGGAAAAGTTTTCTTTACAAAGGTTTTCAAAGTAATTAAGGTTATATTAGAGGTTTAGATTTTTTTTAAAGAAAAAGGGAATTTTCTAGTTTTTAATTTCAAGAAAATTCGAAACTTTGTGAAAATTTAAAATAATTTCAGAATCTGAAATTTGGATCCGTTAGGAGTTCCAGGATTTAATATGGGAATTTTTGGAATTAGTTTGCTATTATTTCGAAATTAGGACAATTTGCATGTCATTTATTATGTTTTGTGCTTTTATTTTCATGTCTTTGATTTAATGACTATGAGTGATGAGATTTGGGGTTTTGTACTTTTAATTGCTGCCAGAATGTGGATTAATTGCTGTGAGAATTTATTGAAATGGATTATTACCTAGAAGTGGTAATAAGTTCATTAAATGAAAGATGAAAAAGGGGTGCTTGCTTTACAAGCATGGTTTAATATATACTTGGCCAGAATCTGGATGGCCAGAAAATGGCATTTACGTAATTATGAGGAAAGTAATAAAGTCTATTTACTAATTTACCCGCAAATTAGAATATTTGAATTAAAATTTATTCAGTTTCTCTCTCTACATTTAATTATTATAATTTGAAAGTTCAATGCATTAAATATTATATTACAACTCCAACAACTAGCATCAATTCATCTAATCTTCTTCATTTTGTTGTTCGATCTCTACAAGAATCGAAATTTTAAATCTTCTTAATGTTTTCATCTTCTTCATCATGAAACAAGCTTAAATTCTTAAAAAGTTAAACTTCAGAATTTTTTGTGTGAAATAATAAACCTTAAAAGCCTGGAGATATTTTTTTCATTAATTGTTGTTTATTGTTGATTTAATTAATTTATATTACTACATATAAAATTACTCCCTATCTAGAGGTATATATGTGGTAAATGAAATAGATTACTAATTTACGGATTGGAATTTTATGTAATATTTTTATAATACTTCAAAATATTCATAGATTTTTATTCACACATGTGATTTCTAAATTATGCTATTCTTTTGTAAAATTTATTTATAATCTCTTTATATTTCAATTTTAAAGGGAATAATTATTAAATTACTGTTTCTTATGATTATATATATATATATATATATACACACGTGTGTGTGTGTGTGTACTTTGACATATAGATTCAAATAATTTATTATAATTAGACAAATTATTTAAATCTATAGATAATTTAAATATATATTACTATTTATAAATAGTAATATATATTTAAATTATCTATAAATTAACTTATAAATAATTTATAATTTTATATATACTTTAAAAATAATTTAAATATATACTATTGATTATATAGATTTAAATAATTTGACAATTGACTATATACGATTGTAGATCAAATGATACTTTGAATCTATAGTAGACTTAATGACACACTGATTATATATATTGATATTACATATTAGATCACAATTGATTAAATTTCAAACCCTTCCTTTAAAATTGAACAAATTTACATATATACTAAGGTGCTAGTTTGCACCCTTTTAAGAAATTATAAATACTGTAAAATTATGTCAAAATTTCTATTCTAAATTTGTGACTTATTTCAGATTATCTTTTTTTAATTGCAAATTGAATTATTTTTTGGGGGCGTTTTGTTAAAAAAAAAAAAGAGTAATAATAAAAATAACAGTAATAAAAATACAAATAATAATAATAGTAGTAGTAGTAATAATAATAATAATAATAATAATAATAATAATAATAATAATAATAATAATAATAATAATAATAATAATAATAATAATAATAATAAACAACTATAAGTTAAAGGAAAATAACAGATTGGTAGCTTATAAATAAAATTGTTCTATTTTTTAGGCACGTTTAGAATTGATTGGTTTGCTTCAAAAAAAAAAAAAAGAATTGATTGGTTATTTTAGGCTGACAAATTCAGTAATAGCAGATTAGGAAGATTAAGAGTGAAATTAGGGAGAAAATTTAGGAGGGAAACTTGGAGCCAAAATCATTAAGGATAAAAATGGTAAAAGATAAAAGAAAATTATAAAAAAGGAAAAAAGAAAATATTCTGGCCAGCCAGAATCTGGCCATTTAGCATTGTCCTAATATTAAATGGTGATGTTTAATGTGTGACTGCATGTGTGTGTGCTGAATATGTGTGAGTGTGTGTGCTGAATGTGCATGTGGTGTGTGTCGTGTGTGGTTGTGTGTTTATGTGTGTGAATTTGAGGAATTTTTCCCAAAGGTATAAATATGTGGTAAATTGTGACATTTGTGTGATTTTGTGGCACTTGATTGATATTTGTGATGTTATGTGTGGGTCATAAGCATGATTTCGAAAAGTTGCATTTCACGGTTTTTAAATTGAAAGATTAATGGAATACCGGGTAATAAACAACTCGGATATAGAGAGCCGGTATCCAACTAGGATGATGTGTTGTGATTTGATTCCACTTAGTGAAAACGGGCTCGTAACAGGTTTATTATCCAGGTATAGAAATTAATCTTTCACGGATCCGATAAAACGAAAAATGTGTTTTCACGATTTTAATAAAAAAAAAACATTTTAGTCATTTTGCATAAGTAATTGGTTATGTGCGAATGATGTGTTTCCGTGAATTATGTGGTTGTACCGTTTGGCTTGTGTTGTTGGAATGTGGGTAAGAATGGGTATATAATATATGTATATTATGTAAAACGTATGTTCAAAGTTCGATATTTCATCGGATTTCTTACTGAGCTTTGTAGCTCATATAGATGTCTTTTAATTGCTGGTGGTAGTGCTAGTAATCCTCAACCGGGATGGATCGAGTAGCGGATCGAGGTCTTGCCCGGGTTTTTGGAAGTTGTACGAGGACTTATGAACGATGCTAAAGTCTTTTGGTTATTTTCTTTTGGTGATGTAATATTAAACCTAACTATTTCCTTTTCGTACCTTTTAAACTCGTTACCGGTATGAATCGTACTTAACTCCAATTATAAAATAGTCCGTTTCGTAATTTTTGCTATTTTCATGGCTCCACTAGTAATTTCGAATTATTCACCAAAATAACCTTTCCAAACTCTGATTTCTTCTCGAACCGAAAACCGATAGTGATAGTGTAGCACTCGAACGAAAAACCTCCCCTCGAAACTTATTTCCAATCGAAACCTTTATTTGGCTTAAGTAACCTAAAGAAAGATTTCGAAAACTGCAAAGTTATAATAATTGCATTTTGGTCCCATTTCAAAGTTTCAAAAAGTACAAAGAGATCCTTTGCTTCCGCTAGTTTAATGAAAATTCCGGTAAACGGGTTCGATTTATCGCCCGATTAGAAGGGGTGCTACAATACATGCTCGCGATAATTTAAATTAAATCACATAAATTAAATCATATAGCATGTTCGCATTTAATTAAAAATTAAATTAATCAACTACCATGCTCAACTTACGAATCACATAAACACATACTCATGTAAGATAACCATTAATTATAATTAATATAAATCAATTAAAATATGAATTAGGATAAATGAGTTTTTACCCTTGCAGCGTGAGTCATACGAAGATGGTTAGCTGCCAAATACCAATCGAACATATTCGGTCCAACAGTGTGTGAGATTCACGAGCGGAGGGAAGGTGGCATGTGGCGGCTGCTCCCTTTCTCCTTCATCCTCTTGGATTTCAGCTCGTAGACTGGTCTCCACACCCTACGCGGCACTAGGCACGTATATGTTAGAATAAACATAATTAAAACGAGAAGAAAATAACTACCAACGAAGAACGACGACGGCGGCGACAGACGCGTGGAGTGAGAGAAAGAGCGGATAGGGTTTTATTATGTTTCGTCTCTCATTCACGTGACCTATAAATCACTATTTATTGTGTTCTTGTGAAAAAATTAATGGACTTAAGTTGGACTGAGCCCAACAGCGTAAGTTCACTAGTCTTTCTCTGCTCGTTTTTCACTACCCAATGATTGGAAAGTTATAACAATTATATTTTCGTAATCATTGTAACGTTCTCGTCAATACGACTGCTAATTCAAAAATTTCACTTTCTAAAACTGGAAACCCTAATTCAGTAGACCTGCTAAATCGAGAAACTTCCCAATTTAGAATGTTCATTAAATTGTCGCCTAATTCTTTTTCTCTATTTATTATCATTCATAACCAACAATTACGAATATTGGACTCAATCAAATTGAGTATTGACCTCCAATTACGCAAAGATTAACAGTTAATATATGTCCATTCATTCAAGGAATTCAAGTACACGATAAGTGTGACCTCAATGGTTCAGGTGTAAGCTAGTCGTGGGACCACAACACATTGTGATTTAAACTCTTCCCTGCAGTTCTAATTAAGGGGTGACTAAAACTAATACCATTTTTTTCTCACTTCAAGTTTAATATCATATTTTATAGAAGTGTTTGCAATTTTTTCTTAGATTAATACTACATACATTTTTTTTAATAGTAAAGTACTTCTTCTTCTTCTTCTTCTTCTTCTTCTTCTTCTTCTTCTTCTTCTTCTTCTTCTTCTTCTTCTTCTTCTTCTTCTTCTTCTTCTTCTTCTTCTTCTTCTTCTTCTTCTTCTTCTTCTTCTTCTTCTTCTTCTTCTTCTTCTTCTTCTTGACTATTGATTATTGATGCAGTACTCATTTAGATCTTTTTGAAGATGTGTACACGGAGGTACTATACTTTGAAGTTAGCTATAATATTCTTATGTAATAGATTCGATGATATTTCTAGTTTTGATTTTGATTATGAAATGTTACTAAGTAGTTTTTTTCTCCTAAGTACATGTCTCTGTTTCAAGTATTATGCACTTTATATATTTATTATGAATATTCTTGTATATGATGGCCTTTAAGAAAGTTCATATACAAATATTTATTTAGGTTCGCAAGCTATAAAGAAATAATATACTGAATAAAAGTTATATAAAAATAAATTATATAATATTTACGTGTATTGGTGAGAACGAAACTTGTCGTAACAAGTATTTGTAATGAATTTTGTTATTACAGACATCTACTAATTAATATTCTAAAATTGATCTTTGGTAACGAAAGTGACTTTTGTAAGGATAGTATTGAGTTTTAGCGAGGACGATATTGTTACAATAGGAGAAGATATTGTAACAAATAACCGTTCCTTACTAATACATTTGTAACGAAACACAAAACATTGTCACCTAAACTTTTAGCGTCGAGCTTTAGAGGACAAAGGAAGGTAACGATTCTGTCTTTACAAGAAGTTTTGGTGACAAAAAAGGCATATTTAGTAACGAATTTTTTCCTCATTAGAACTGTGTTCTCTTGTAGTGTCTTCTTCTTCTTCTTCTTCTTCTTCTTCTTCTTCTTCTTCTTCTTCTTATTACAAACCCTGCAAAAAAACTCAAAATTCAAAAAAAACTCACAAAACTTATAAAATGGTTTCACAAGACAATAAAATGGTAGTTTACATGGAAGGAGAACCCATTAAAGTATGTATTCATGTCTTTTTTGAGCTTCAAAGTCGTTTTTTTTAAATCTGTATACATGGATACATACTTTAACGGGTTCTCCTTGGCCGTAAACTACCATTTTGTTGTCATTTGACTCCATTTTGCAAGTTGTGTGAAGTTTTGATTTCTTTAGTTTTGAATGTTTTAGAAGGGCTTGTTTGTGAGGCAGAAGAAGAAGGAGGTGGTTGAGGGGTTTCTGAAGAAGGAGATGAGTTTTGTGTGTTTGGTATTGAAGAAAGAAATATGAGATTTTTAATGTTTTTGTAGCATTGATTTTCATTAAGAGTATTTATTTCATTACCTATTTATTATCTAATTTTTATTATTGTGGTATTGAAGTGAGAAAAAATCGGTATTAGTTTTAGCTGTTCCCTTATAATTAAGATGAAACTTGTTTTAACTTAACTGCCCAACGAATCAAGATTGACATCTAGCAACTACCCGTCATGATTCCCTAGATACAAATGAAGTGCCTGCAAGAACCGCGTGATATGGTTAACGTATAGTACGATCATTTCGATTCATATGTCCCGATTGACTAGATGCACTGAATCACCGAGATCTCTATTAAAGTTCAATAACCGCGTGAACGTTCTTAGTAATGCAATCAGTTTGTGTACGACTTAGATAAACGAATTTCCCTAATCATCACACAGTTAGCTATGGCCAGAGACTCTATGATTACAAACTATAAGAATATAAAGGACATCCATGACTATTCAACCGATCGAAGTGGGACAGGTCGCGCTACAGCTGATCCTCTAATGAAGTCATAGTGATGTTTGGGTCTTAAGGATTAATGGTGTACAACTATATCATAGAAACATGTATTCGATTATTGGAAACCATTTAAAAATTTCTAGGATTAGGGAGTTGAGTGAACTCATTTATATGATCACCCACTTATGTATGTCGATGTGACAATACCGATTACTGATGGCGTAACCCATTGACTTTGAAGCTAGTTTTAACAATTATATTACTAAATTAAATACCTCATGATTGAACTAGATCAATTAATAGTAATTTAACAATTGTAAGGGCTATATCTATGCGCGTGCAAGGGACAAAGATATAGAATGCTAAAATGGGATGTTATCATTAATACGAAATTAATTATTTATTACAATAATAAATGAAATACCACAGTCACAAGTTGACTTGTTGGTTACAGACTCTAACAGTATTTATTGTTCGTTTGCACTTTATTTCTCTCTTTGTATTCTTTCGTTGTGTTATTGTTTACATTATACTCTACTACATTAGTTCACGATCATCAAACCAAAAAAGTAGATAAAATATGCCATTTTACAACAAAACAGTCTCTTAATGATATTAGTTATAAATTTATTTGAATAAATGCTAATATATAAAGGGTATAAAAAAAATTTGGGGGCCCTAAACTTTTAAAACTTCGTGCTTCATTTTATCGCTTGCAAGCCATTGCAAAAGTAAAAACATAGAGCCTGTTTGATTAAGCTTATTATAATAGCTAATAAGATCTTACATATGATAAGTTAATTTAAGAGATCATAAGTTTTTATGTCTTATTTTTAGAATTATTGTTTAAAGTGTTTGGATACTGAGCTTATAAGCTGTTTTTACTCATAATAAGATCTTAAATAAAAATGTGGAGTAGAGTACTTTTTAAGAAAAAAATTAAAAGCTCTCAAGCAGCTTAGTTTTTGAATTTTTAAAATATTTTTTAAAATTTTTACCACACTTTGAAAGAGCTTATAAGCCCTTAAACATTTGATAATTTTTTTTTAACATATTATAAGCTTAGCCAAACAGCCTCTTAGTATCCACCCAAAAAACATCACTATTTCCCGAGTAAAATTAATAGCCTTTTACATTACAAGAATGGCCTCACGAATAAATCAAGAAAATATCCAAAACATAAGTTACAATGATCACATAATAAGAAAAATAAATAAATAAATAAAATCAAATCATCAACATATTTATGAAAGCTTTGAAACGACCATCCATTAACACAATTTTCTTTGAAATTCTGCAACAGATTTATTTGAATACTTGAGGCATTTCAATCGCTGAGCAACACACGATAAGCCATGTGATTATGATGATGTTGTTTGGAATTTATTATCATTACACACGGATAATAAATGGCATGTATAGAAAAATCAATCTAAACATCCCTTCAACGTTTTCAAGGATCAAGCTTACCAAATTCACAGACAAAAAGCAAAATTCACCGTGCAGCTAAATCGAAAATTAACATAGATTTGACGATCATAAATTACCTTAATAGATCCGTAATCGAAGAACGTATTTTAACTTCATAAAGGATGGGCTGCAATCATCTACCTCTAGTATTTCGGTGTTCTTAAATTGATTCGAGATGTTTTCCAATTTATAGCAATGCCTAACAATCACCCACCTTAAATATAGAATGTCGAATTCCAAGTTCTCTATATCCAAGTCTTCCAGCAGCAAGAATTCCAGACTGGGGAACTGTCCTTGTCTTTGGCTGGTTTTCCACAGAGGGCCGCAAAAGGCATACTATCGCAGTTTGAGCACTATAAGATTCGATAATGAAGCAATCACTTCCATATTCTCCCAAGGAAATCCACATCCACTCAGGCTTATCTTCCTAATGTTCATACGAAAATTCGGAACTGAACGAACAATTTGAGAGCTCAGATTAGGATTTACAACAACGAATTTGAATGACTCAAAGCTCTCATAGACAGAGGCAAAGTGACCGAAAAAATTGAAGGTTTCGGTTGAGTCGTGTGCCGACTCAATTTGAACGGCTATTCTCTTCAGATTGGGGATTCTTGAAAGCACTTCTATGGTACAACTGTGAACACTCACACCCAAAACTGTTATAAGATTCTCAAGATGAGAATCATTCGAAGGAGGTGGGAGGTCGAAGCCCTTGCAATAAAGTTGTCTCAGTTTATGCATGTTCCAGATATCTATAGGCAGATAAAGTCGACCATTATTCGACAATTTGATGTTATGATGTCGAGTAAAAATCAATACCTCGAGGTTCCAAAGTGTGGATATGGAGTTGGGGAGCTCTCTGTCACACGTGATTGAAAGGTACTTCAATTGAAGTAATGCAAGTAGTTGATGTGGGAACTCGTAGAAGCAGATCGCAAGTGCATCTAGTACCTTGAGCAATTTAAAACACGAGGGCAACAATACTGGATATTGTTGTTTTGGACCAAAACAAAGAAGAGATCGTGCATTCGGAACAGATTACATCCATTCATGAACTTGTGTTAAAGCAAGAATAACATTATTGTGGACACACAAACGCTGCTGCCTTCTGATGTTCTCCGGAGTACAATCGGTGTATTTTTTCAGGATATGGAAAAACTTTTCACTCTAAGCTTCACTAACACATAGACTTCGAAAGGTGAAATGCAGTCTACAGTTCTTAAATTCAATCGAATTTATAGAAGCTTGCTTTTCTCTCAAAGCAACACTTTGCCGAATAAGTAGATCAAAGGTGTGTCCGACAATTTCTTCAATCCCCGGTTGTGTATCCAGAAAGCCCTCAGAGAACCATAATTTGATGAGCTTTGATCGAGAAATCGCATAATGTTTTGGGAACACACCCATATACAGAAAGAATGGCTTTAGATAGGGATGCAACATCATGTAACTAAAAAATAGTGCCTTTGAGAATGGCGTATCGTCATATCTTGTGATGACGAGTGGATCTTCTTTTTCTGATAATGTCTTCCATTCTTCAAAAGATTTTCCACGTAGATTCTGTCCAACCTGTATAATTGCTGCAGGGAGTCCTTCACAGTTCTTGGCAATCTTCTTCCCAATTTTCTCAAGTTCTCGACTGCACTTCTCCTCTCTATTACTAAATGCCGTCTGATGAAGTAGTTTCCAACTGTCGTCGTCGTTGAGAAATGGTAATATAATAAACTTTTGCGTATAAATGTAGTCATAAGTTCTTTGGATCTGAGATATGATGATGATCAAACTTTTTTTTCTGTTTTCTTGAAAATCAGGAAGGATTAGATCAGCCCATACATCGTCTAAGACAACTAGATACTTTTGAGTAGATAAAGCCTCCGACAATTGCTTCTGCAAACAATCCGTGTCTAGTTTATCAGAAGGGACGATGACGCCAAGTTCATCGAGAACACGCAGCACAATATCTTCCGATCGAGTGTAGTCTGGGCCGATGTGCAGAAATAATCGAGTTTCGAACTCTTTTATAACAAGTGGATCGTTGTAAACTTGTTGAACAAGACTAGTCTTACCGATTCCGGTCATGCCCACAACTGATATAACTACGTAATAGTAATTGGGATCGAAAATCAATTGTTTAAGTGCTGTAATTTGGTCATCCAATCCCACCAGAAGATTCTGTTGTTGATTCCAAGTACTATAATCTGAAGAAGCAAAATTAGAATACCTCCTACTGCTGCAGAGTTGTTGTTGTTGTTGTTGTTCTTCTTCTTCTTTTACGTCAGTTGGTGTGAGAAACGAAGTAATTTCTTGTTTGACTATTTGCAGTTGATGGGAGAGCGACAAAGCAAAACGGATCTCATCATGATCTCGATCAGACAAGTGGGAATCGATAAGACGTTGGAATATTAGGAGAGCATCTACGACTCGTCTTTCATAAGCTGCCGCATCAACTATCCTGCTGCTGGGAAGCTCCTCCATTTTATCGAGAACTGAATCCATTTCATGAAGGATACACTGCTTGTCTGTTAGGGAAAGAAAATCATCGGATTCGGAAATGCGATTCAGTGTCTGATTAAGGGAGATTAAAGCAGCACAAGAACCCATTTCGTACTAACACCTCTCTTTCTCTCTCCCTCTCTGTGTGTGTCAGTGTGTGTGTGTGAGAGAGAAAGTACTAATAAGTTTCACTTTGTTAAGATTTGCAGAAAAGTACTAAGGTTTGCAGTTCATATACTAATATTTTGTGTTGTGTTTTCTTGGGATCACTTTTGGAGTTTGACATTTTGGCTCTTCTCTTGAAAAAGAAAAATAAAAGGAAAGCAATATACTAATATTTTGACATTTTGACATTTTGTACTAATATTTGCATTATTTTTGTTAAAATATAAAAAATTGTTGATTTCTCTTTATTTTCTAATGTATTTATATGAAATATATATTTTCTCCAAAAAGTACTAAGCCTCAATAATATTGATATCATTTGCAAGAAATATAGTACTAAATTTTTGGGGTTGAAATGGTCTTTCTTAAAAACAACTATGATACGATATATATTATGCGATCTCTCGAGTATCATAAATATTTCTTACGAAACGTAAGATCTATTCTTTAATATTTCTCTCTGCATAATAAAACCCTAGCACAATACGACTATTTAAAGAGAATAAAACCCTACAATCCTAATCTAACTAGGAAAGATAATTACCTAAACTAATAAAATACTTAATATCTATCCTATAATCATTAAGCCTACGGCTCTAACTAAATTAATACTTAAATAATATATATTAAATAATTAAATAATAACTAATGAATAAATATACGATATATTAAATATATATCGTATCAAACCACCCCTCTTGAAATGAACCTTGTCCTCAAGGTTCGAGTTAATTTGATCCCTCTCCTTTGCGCTTCCACCTATGTTTGACTTCATTGACTTGCTTCCCGATTGACTCCGAAAAACACGATGAAAGACCGAGCTTTTTAATACATTGTTCATGCTGATCCAACGAAATTCCAAAGGCTACTTTAGCGAAAATATTCAATCTTTTTCCTGATAAATAAACTTTTTCAATCGTCTTTGTAGATTTTGTCTCCTCCAAACTGACCATCGGTTCTTCGTCTCATTTCTTTTGAACACCATGGAAATCTCCCAATATCCATAGTAACTCTTTGCTCTCCTCTCTGGTTAATTTCTCGTCTTCGTCCCACTTTATCTCGGTTGACTCCGATTCTTCTTCTTTCGGCTCTTCGTCCCACTTCATCTCAGTTGAATCCGATTCCTCTTCTTCTGGCGAACTCACAAAAAATTGGGGTTCTTCGAAAAAGTCATCGTCGTCCTCTTCCTCTTTCTCCGGCGATAGGCTCGGCAGCGGCGGCGGCGGTGGCTCTTTGAAAAAATCATCATCGTCCTCTTCCTCTTCCTCCGGCGATAGGCTCGGCAGCGGCAGCGGCGGTGGCGTTGGCGGTAATGGGCGGCGGTCCCTTCGACTTTTGTGTTGGTGTTGACGTCGTCTGTGACTTTGTTCGAGCAATTTCTGAAAATCAATCCGTAATCTCTCTACGGATTTCTCCAATCGCTCTAACCGTCTTGTTTCGGACATCATGATTTTCACAAAGTTTTGATGTGATCTCAACTTTGCTCCAGCTTAGCTTTGATATAATCTCTGCTTTGCTAACGAAGCGTTGGTGTTATCGCAACTTCGCTCTGATACCAATTGATGCGATCTCTTGTGTATCATAAGATTTCTTTACTGAACGTAAGAAAACTCTTGTTTATTATTTCTCTTCATAATAAAACCCTAGCACAAGACGACTATTTAAAGAGAATAAAACCCTAGAATCCTAATCTAACTAGGAAAGGTAATGACCTAACTAATAAAATACTTAATAATATCCTAACCACTACTAACTCACGGTAATATTTATTATAAATATACTAATCTTATTAATTAATAATAAACTATTAACTAAACTAATAATTAAACGATATATTAAATAATATATCGTATCAAACCACCCCTCTTGAAATGAACCTTGTCCTCAAGGTTCGAGTCAATTTGGTCCTCTCTTTTGCGTTTCCATCGATGCTTGATGCCATCAAATTTCTTCAAAAATGATTTGTTCCCATGTAGGATGCTGAGAACAGGAATCTCAAGCAATTGATCATCTACTTCATCACATGTCTCCACAATCGTTGACTTTTTAACATATTGTTTGTTATGGTCAAACAATTCATTAAACGTCATCAAGGAGATATTTGACACTTTTAGTGATACATCAATCGTCTCAATAGCATTGTTAGATTTCTTAATCTCCTTCAAAATCGTCAATAGTCCTTCGTCTTCTTTCCTTTGAACATCATGGAAATTTCCCAATATCCATCGTAGCTCTTCGTTCTCCTCCTTTGTTAATTCCTCGTCTTCATCCCAAATTACCTCAAGTGAATCCGATAATTCATCTTTCGGCGAACTCACAAAAAATTGTGGTTCTTCGAAAAATTCATCATCGTCCTCTTCCTCTCCCTCCGGCGATAGGCTCGGCAACGGCGGCGGCGGTGGTGGCGGTGGCAGTGGTGGTGATGGGCGGCGGTCCCTTCGGCTTTTGTGTTGGTGTTGACGTCGTCCTTGACTTTGTTCGAGCAATTTCTGAAAATCAAACCGTAATTTCTCTACGGATTTTTCCAATCGCTCCAACCGTCTTGTTTCTGACATCATGATTTTCACAAAGTTTTGATGTGATCTCAACTTTGCTCCAGCTTAGCTTTGATATAATCTCTGCCTTGCTAACGAAGCGTTGGTGTTAATCGCAACTTCGCTCTGATACCAATTGATGCGATCTCTCGAGTATCATAAATATTTCTTACGAAACGTAAGATCTATTCTTTAATATTTCTCTCTGCATAATAAAACCCTAGCACAATACGACTATTTAAAGAGAATAAAACCCTACAATCCTAATCTAACTAGGAAAGATAATTACCTAAACTAATAAAATACTTAATATCTATCCTATAATCATTAAGCCTACGGCTCTAACTAAATTAATACTTAAATAATATATATTAAATAATTAAATAATAACTAATGAATAAATATACGATATATTAAATATATATCGTATCAAACTACCACTTTTTTTGGGATTTAACAATTAGCATTACAGCTGTGTAATGACAATAGCTGATGACCAAGAAGAATCTTTCGATTTAATATTCATTTGTTGCCTGACACTTACAAATTGGTGTCGTCAGTTTTATTTCCGTTCAATTATTATTATTTGGGGGTTTTTTAGCAAAAACCACTCCTGTGTAATCTTGTATTGCTGAAAAAGTACTCGTGTTAAAAAAATTGGCAAGAAACTCCCTATAAAAATTAATTAAAGACAATAAGGTCTCTAAGAGCTTATCGTGTGCTACACGTGCGGGTTGTGTGACTGAGAGTGTATTTTTGATCCAAAAAGGCAAAACTAGCCTTTAAATTATAAATTTCAAAATTACAAAGTCACCCAAAATTCCAATGCCCCAACATGAAGTTTTCAAAATTTGCAATTCAATCCTTCCCATTTCAAAAAAGGCCATCTTCCCAAATCAAACCACAAACGTCACTCCCGCCAGAAACCATCTTCACACCATCTCTGGTGTCTTCCTCATCGGAAAACGTCACTGGAAGAGAGCCACGTGTTACCATCGTACCCATAACCACCTCCCTCACAACGTCCATATCCACCACCGTGCTGCCGCGGATCTTTTAAATTGTTGGTAGACGGTAGCTCTCCGACGTGTGCGGCGTTTGATGCACCATTAGAGGAATTTGATAGAAAGTTGTTTGGGTTCGGGTTTGGGAGTGGGTGTAGGCAGTGGCGTATCCAGTGTGGTCAAGGGTGTGCAGTCTAAAAAAAAAATTATTTCCGATGTATTTAATATTATATAACTGCAAATGTAAAATCTAGCAAATTCTATGCTGTAGTTGAACTGGTTTAGTGCATCATAGCATTCTGCTGAGGGTGCAGTGTTCGAGATTGAGAGTCCGAACCTCGCTATTATTTTTTCTTTTTTATTCCCAATTTTCCCATTACATACAATATTTCAATTGCTTTAAAAAATGTTGAATATGTGGGTATTTTTTAATATTAAAAAAAAAAAATCTCCTAATATAACATATATTTTGCTATTTGTAACTTTAATTTATTTACCATTTCTTTCATATTAAATATAATATAAATTATTCTGAAATTCTACAATATTTCAATTGTTTTAAAAAATATTTATTATTTCTTTTTTAATCCCAATTTTCCCATTACATACAATATTTCAATTATTTAAAAAATGTTGAATATGTGGTTATTTTTTAATATTTAAAAAAAATCTCCTAATATAACATATATTTTGCTATTTGTAACTCTAATTTATTTACCATTTCTTTAATATTAAATATAATATAAAATATTCCGAAATTCTAATATTGTTTATATATGTATTATTTCAATTTTCTTTTTCTAAATTTACAACTATGTGGTTTTTTTTTTCTTTTTGAAAATTGAAAATCTGCTAATGAAATGTACATTTTGTCACTTGCAACTTTAATATGTTTACCACTCCTTTAATATTTTCACCAATTTTACGTTTAAATATTTCTTAAATTTGTCAAAAAATGGTAAAATAATCCCTTTAAATTTATAAAGTTGAAAGATTTTTTTATTATTTAATGTGCACAGTGTTCAAAAAAAAAAATCAGGGGCGCTGCCCCCGAACCCCCATAAACTATTAGCCAACAATTATATTTTTACTATATTTAATTTCGAGCACCCTTGCAAAAATCCTGGATTTGCCACTGGGTGTAGGGGTGACAGAAGGGAGTGGGGTGGTGTGTTGGTTTGACTGGGAAGATGAAGCAATTGTATCCTTTCTTTTTTTTTCTTTTGGGATTTTGTTTTCAAATTTATTTTTGTTTTTTAAGAGATTCAATATTTTATTTTTGGGCTTGAATATTTTTGTTTTGTTTTATTTTGAAAAATGCAGGGTAATTTTGCCATTTCATCTAAGTGGGTAAAAAGGAAAAAAGAGGCAGTATGCTTTGTAAAATATAACATATGGGGAGTTCTTGCTATTTTTTGAACACAAGGGAGTTTTCAGCAACTAGAGATTACACATGGGGTTATGTGCAATTAACTCTTATTTATTGTGTATGATTCAGTTTTTCGATACTATTGTTCTAAGTCATGTAACAGTTTGTAAAATAGAATGAAAAAGAGATACAATTTCTTACGTGATTCAGATACAAATGCATCATAATCCAAGGGGGGCCTGCAAATAAGAATTTACATATTTTAGTTTTACGAGCACAATAATTGGACTTATTCAAAAGTCAAAACTAAAGATTCCTTCTTTGTTGACAACGTTCATGTATGATGCTTGAAATTGTGATCTTCAACTTGCAGTATGTCCACCACTCTGTATAGTTAAGCTCCCTTCAACGTTGAATTCTTTCAGTTGGCAGGTCGACCTCCTCCCGAGATCTTTTAAACTCTTTAATCTTACGGGATAAACTTCATGTCTGGAACAAAATAAAAACGATAGCAGAAATATATTATTTGAAAAATTTCTCTCGTTAAAAGGCACACCAAAACTCGTCCCACGTACTGCTCTTTTATATATGTGTGAAAGCCTGGAGAAAATATGAGACGATAAAACATATATATTACATTATACTATACTAATTAATCCACGATCGTCAAACCAAAAAAAGTAGATAAAGATAGGTTGTGAATGACATCTTCTTCACCTACATCACATATTTCGCATAGGGTACCATCAAAGACTTGTCTTTTGACAATATTTTGTCGAGTGGGTAGAAGGTTCTTGCAGCATCGCCAAAGGAAGATCGGAGGAGCAGCTTGCTGAAGTAAGACCAACCTTTTCTTTCTCAACTTTAACAACAAAGTGGTAGGCACTAGGGACGGAAAATAAACCGTTCTTGTTATAATGCCAAATAAGGCGGTCTTCATTTGTCGACATTCTCCGTGGTATGGACAATATGCACTTTTGATCCTCGACATTGAAAATGGAATTAATCATATTTAAATTCCATTGACCACTATCACCGTAATAAGATTTTGTACCTTCATCTGTAACTGCCAATGACCTCGTGGGGAGAAAATTTTGAACGTTCGTTCCCTAGGGAGCCATTTACTCCCCCATATGTTCACAATTGCCTCATTTCCGATCCTCCACCGAGTACATTTCTCTACCAGATTAATCGCTCCCCAAATACTCCGACAAGTGTAAGATGGATTCGACCCCAGAGATGAGTCCAGAATACTCGAGTGAGGATAATATCTAGCCTTGAAAATTGTTGCCAATAAGCTGTGTGGGGAGTCCAATAAGCGGCATACATGTTTCGCAAGAAGGGCCGTGTTGAAAGCAGGTAAATCCCGAAAACCAAGGCCCCCAAACTCCTTGCTATTACATAGCTCTTGCCATCTAGCTCAATGAATTCCTTTTCCATTATTATTTTGCCACCAAAACTTACTCTTGTTAGAATCCTTTGGATTCTGACTTTGCAAGGAAAAGTATAAAAGAGTTGTACCACAAGTCTAGATATGCCGTGATATAAGAAGGGGAGTTTCCTTGTGTTTTAATTCTTTTTAATTTGTCATTAATTGATTAATATTAGGAATTATCTTTATACAAAGAGTTTTCTTATTTTACAACTTATTCTCCTACGTGAATAAGAATCCCTAATCTAATGGATTTTATTTCCTTGGTGTTCTAGTTGTTAAGGGAATTATTTTTTAGATAAGGAATGATCTAGTTGTATTTTCCTATACAACTCTTCTTAATGTGAATAACAGATCTAATTAGATTCGTATTTTCTTGTGAAAGAAGAATTATGAACGTATAAAGAGGGCTTCAAGCATCATTATCTGGGCGCTTCTTGGAGAGATAAATATTTCTCTTTTCTTTGTTGCTCTTCTGGAGTCTTTTTATCAAGAGAAAAATTCAAATATCTCTCGTTTTTATTGCTCCATCGTGATACGTGATTTTCGTAGAAAATATACCGGCTTCAAGGCTTTGTGGTGAAGACACCAAGATTCAAGAAGTATCACAAGTTTGCTTCTTCTATATAAAAAGAAGATCGGTTCTTCGGGAGAGGGGCTTAAACAAATCTCGGGAGGAGATCGATCCGCCGACTGAGGGATTCAACGTTGAAGGGAGTTCAACCGTACGGAGCAAGGGACGTGTTGCAAATTGAAGATTTATAATTCAGCGTAGTATACACAAACGGCGTCAACAAAGAGGGAGTCTTTGTATTTTGATTAACTCCTATTATTGTATTCGTAAAACTAAAAGTTAGTAAATTTTATTTGCAGGTCCCCGTGGATGTAGGGTACAATTGTATCCGAACCACATTAAAATTTGTGTCTCGTTTATTTCTGTTTTTACGAACTGCTTCCGAACTATTGCAACACTTCACGCAACAGAAACGAAAAACTGAATCTGACACAAATAATTTATATCTGCACGAAATAAATTCTAACAATTCGCATCAAGAGCCTATCACTTGATACACTTAGTAATATTTTTGGATTTAATTTTTTTATTTTTTTTGTTCAGAGATATGAATAATCATCGTGAATGCGCATTCCTACCACCTCTCGTGGGTGAATTGAACTACTCTTATTGGAAAATAAGGATGAAGGTGTTCATCAAATCTATTGATGAATGGGCCTGGCGCGCGATTCTAATTGGTTGGACACCTCCTACCTCAATGAATGAGTCACACGAGATCATTCAAACGCCAAAAGAGAAGTGGAGTGATGAAGAAGTACGGATAGCAGATTATAATTCCAAGACAACCAATGCTATCTTGAGTTGTATCGACGACGACCAATTCAAATTGATATCAATGTGCAAATAAGCAAAAGAGGCATGGGATGTTCTACAAGAGGCCTGCGAAGGAACTACTCAGATAAGCAAGTGCAAACAGACTGTCGGTGATACTATTGCAACAGTTGGACAGACTGTTCAGACAGAACTTAGGTATGATAAGTTGCATTCAATACCTGCTAAAAGATTAACTCCGTTAAATATTGCAGGTGATGATGGGGATTCAGAAAACAACAGTGATGATGACGTGTCAACCTTGGAAGAATTAAATGAGTGCTATGAAAGGATGTACGGAAAATTTCTTCAGGTATGCGAGTCTAATAAATTCTTAGAAAAAGAGATGCTTGTCCTAATAGAGGAAAATAAAGTGTTGAAGGTAAGAATTTCTACTCTTGAACAAAATGTTATTTCTTCTAATAGAGAAACAAATAGTTTGAAGGCTAAATTTGCTCAAACCCAAGATGTTATTTGTAAGTTTAATATTGGTAGGGTAACTTTGAATGAAATTTTGAACAAAAATCAGCCGAACTGCGGTCGTATAGGTATAGGGGGGTAATCAGCTATCTAATGATGCATTGAAACAGAAAGAAGATCCAAAAGGAAAAAATCAATTTTGTTAAACAATCCAATGTTTCACAAACTGTTGCGACAGTTGCATGCATCAACACAGTCATCTCAAAGAAAACGTTTTGTTCCTACCTGTCATTTTTGTCATGTTCCTGGTCATATACGACCTAGGTGTTTTAAGTACTTGAAAATGGTTAAAAGAATAATGGCCCGCTCACCACTTTCCGCTAAAATTGATCACACTTTTGTGTCGTCTCAGAAACCCAAGATAAAGGTTGATTTAGTGAATAAAACTCAACAAAAAATCTGGGTAAAGATGTATGAACTTAATTGTTTATCTGCCATTACTTCTTTCAAATCTTGTGATGATGGTACTAATTGTTCCAACAGTTCTGGTGACAAAGCTAGTTTCGGGAATAAAAAACTTGGTAATCTGAATTGTGATAATTTGTATGCGAAAAATAAGTTTATGAATCCAATTCAGCATTCGAGAACTAAGCTTACTGATATTTGTCATTGTTTCATAAGGGGCTTGGTCGAAAAGGGGGTTGAATCAATTGATTATGTTGCATCGGAGAATGAATTAACTGATGCTTTTGCAAAAACCCTTAATGCCCAGAGATTTGATTCCTTGCGAAAATCGCTGGGAATTTATGTTGTTTAATCTGATGCAGTTGCATGAACTGTTGCAACAGTCTGTGTGTCCAGACTTGCAACTTTTAGTGGTAGGACACTTCATATCTTTTTGCATCTCATATAGGACCTGCATTAAGCATACTGCATCTGATTGAGACAAATATGAATTTGATGCTTCATGTACTTCTAATATTTGTAGGGATAGAACTTCACCAATTCCCAAAATGATTACTTAAAAGGCTCAAACTTACTTATTTCTCTGAATAGTCTTGTCATGGTTGGATGTTTTTATAGGGAAGAACTGCATCTTTTAATGAGTGAAAGCTGCTCTTGAACTACTGTTACTAATATATATATCTATAAACATTTGGTCAGTGAATAGTTCGAAGCCTTTTTGAGTCGAGCCAGTAAATCACGTGGCCGAAAGCTCGCTACAAGGGTCAATTAGAAAGCCCAGGGGACTCCCCATTGCACGGCCAATATATATTATATATATATGGTCACTGAATAGTTTGAAGCCTAGTTGAGTCAAGCCAGTAAACCACTTGACCGAACACTTACTACAAAGCTCAATTAGAAAGCCCATGGGACTACACATTGCACGACCACCATAATCTCGTTCCTTTTAATTGCTCTGATTTTCATGGGAAAAATGTACCATTAGACTTGTGTGTATTCTACCTAATAATAATAATAATAATAATAATAATAATAATAATAATAATAATAATAATAATAATAATAATAATAATAATAATAATAATAATAATAATAATAATAATAATAATAATAATAATAATAATAATAATAATAATAATAATAATAATAATAATAA